TTGATTAAACATTCATTTCTTTTATATTTTCGTCATGAATTATTACTGAGTTTTTTAATGTCTGTCAACCATACGTTGTTGCTGCCATAGTGGGACATGGGTGTTACGGGTTCCTTCAAATTTTCAACAGCAAATCTTCATTAAAACGAATTTCATGCAGCTGTTTAACATTTCCAGATGCTCGTCTATTTTTTCCACCCCTGATTCAGAAAAACACGCGGCTTCATCATACTTTCTACTTTTCTTTAGGTGGATCGAAAAACGGATATTTGTCAAGTTATAATCCCTGATAAAGATATGAAGATCTTACAAAGCACCGGTGTACTGGGCTTGCTCAATGTCCAAGAACCTTGTGTTATCATGGGAAGCAGTCTAGCTGCGTCGAACACCAGCCCATCTGCTGCTGAAGAAGTGCTTTCAAAATGCAAGATCCCTGCAAGAGTTACCACAGAAGAAGAGGAGAAGGCGCCCCCTCGTGAGAAAAGTTCAGAAAGCGATGCAAAACAAGCTTTACGTAAGGTAACAGAGAAACAAAAGGTAGACGATCCTTTGGAGAGCAGTGGAATTTCAGGGACGAAACTGGACTCAGCTCATGAAACACTTCTTAAGAATGAAAACAGAGAAGCTAGTTTGGATAATAAGGGTTCTGTAGCTGCATCTAAGGGTTCTGTAGGTACATCAAAGGATTTCAAGGAGGCACACATTGAGGAATCTTTAGGGGTAAAACAGGACGCTATAGTGATAGAAAATGAGAAGAGTTTGACAGTACAGGAATGCCCTGAGCAAACTAAGTCTATTCATAAACATGATGATGAAATTTGTTCAGAAAAAGACGAAAGTCCAGTCAAGCGTGATCTAGCCTGCCAAGATGATGCTGGTACTTCTAAATATGTGAGTGAAACAGAAGAAACAACTGAGCATGCTCAGAAATCTACAGATGACGCAACAAAGAGCAAACCACATGCGCCAGGAGTCGACTCGTTCAAAGCAAAAAGGCTTCGTTTGGATCAAATCACCGGGAAGCTTTCGATTCAAAGACAAACTCAGATCACAGCGAAACGTGAGGTCATTAAACAAAAACTAGATCATCTCAAATCAGAAGAGATCACCAAAAGTTCACGTGTGTCCCCGCAAAGTTATCAACAGATGTCCCCCAATCCCCCACCATACCACTGTGTTTCAGCGCCCACCCCTCGTATGCCCCCACAATATGTGGAGCGGTACCCTGCCCCAACGCTTCTTACCTATGGTGCACCTACTCAATGCACTGGTCCATGTTGTACATACCCCCCTGGAAATTCATACCCTCCTGTCAGTTCATGTGGATATCATCTGAGTCCAGGGGGGTTGCCTCGTGAAACCTATGTGGTGTATGGTCCAGGGGCGCAGACGTATCATCCCGTTATTGCTCCAACAATCACCTCTGCCCCATGTAAGTAAAATGTTGTTTTCACAAGTTATCTGGCTCTTTGTGATAGCCATTGAACTATATAAGTCAGTGGCGGAAATCTTGGTGGGGCGGGAGGGCGACCGCCCCCCCCCCCCACCCCCACCTTCACGGAAAATTGACGAATTTTCGGAAATTTTGACCTAAAAGAGGGCAAATTCTGACCTAAAAGACGGCTAAAAACAGTCGTTTCGAGTGCAAATGGGGGTTTTCTAGGAAATTTGAAAGTTTTGTCGGAAGCTTTGCCCCTACTGGGTTGACGTCCGGCAATAGCTCTTCAATTTGCACCATCTTTGGCTTCACTTTTTGGACTCGAGGAAAAAACTAACTAGGAAAATCAATGAAACAATAGAAGCATAATTCAATGTTAATTTTTTAACATTTGTACTGTTAAAAATATTGAGTTTACTTATCTTGAATTATGCTTAATTGATTTTCCTAGTTGTTTTTTCAATTAAAAGGTTGTAGTGCACCATAAAAACCATCGTTCAAAAAGCTGAACTGCGCCTTGAATGTATTCCTCTAGGTAGCTGTTGCTTCCCTAGCCTTCCCACGGCTGTTCTTCACGATTCTGGACATCAAAGTGCTCATTCGTTGGTTCGTCTGATGCAAGTAGAACAACGCTCTCTTCCTGGTCCTGTCGTGTACACACAGACCGCAGACCCTAGAGGTCTATCTCCCAGGGGAATTTCTCCCAAGGGTATTTCACCCGATGGCCGAAAGATGGCTCGTACTCATATGTCGAAGAAAGCGGAGCAGGAGCCTGGGATCAAGCACAGTGCTCGGCAGGATAAAATGAGCATTGAGGGGAAACATGGGATAAGGTAATAAAAGTGGTTAGTGTATCTCTGTGACATTGTGGCAATGGTTTAATATACAGTTGTCTCATTATAATTTCATCTCAGTCACATGTGAGAAAAGTACTTTCAGTTTGACTCTACCTAACACTCCAGGTTTCTTCTGAGTACTTCAGTTTCCTCCTGTAGTAGCACTAGATCGATAAGGAATGGATTATTCCTGCAATATTTTTAATTTTGGTCTAGGCAAGAAATACGAAATCCATCACCACAGCCAGAAAGAGCATGTTACAATTAGTAAAATTGCGAAATGTTGTAAAATGAGGAAAGTATAGCCCTGCGAAATTTTCAAATTTTGTATTAATTTGTATTACGCGTGGAAAATACACCACTTTCGGCCCAAATGTGGTGCATTTTCCCGCGGGTAATACAAATTACTACAAAATTTGCAAATTTCGCAGGGTTATATTTTCCGTATTTTACAACATTTCGCGGCCAAACTTTGCAATTTTACTAATTTTAACATGCTCTTTCTAGCTGTGGTGATGGATTTTGTTCTTCTTGCCTAGATCAAAATGTAGTCTGGAGAACAGTTACCTCGTTTCCAGGCTTTCTCCTGTAATTTTCATCAAACAATTTGCATCAACTACTGTCACATTTTACTGCAAATATGAGTCAGTTCCATCAAACATTTCTTACAAATCCATCAAAATTCTTAGAATTATTTCTAATATTGATAGCGCAATATATAGTATTACTATATGATACGAAATAGATGATACACAACATGTTCAAGTCATTGTGTTAAAATGTAATAGTAGAAAACAAACAACCAAATAAATACTTTCGACATTTGATTGACTGAGTATCTACTGGTTTTCAATATTTTGAAAGATATCCATTTCAGAGAAAAGTACAAATTGATTTGCCGTCTCTGATTTGCAGTAAAATGTGACAGTAGTTGATGCAAATGGGTAATGTTTGATGAAAATGAACAACGAATATAAAGGTACAGTGAATGCGATGGGAAACAATGATGCAGTGATCTCAACATCTATTTAGGGGAATTAAAAACGGATCAATTGACTTTATCGCCCGCTATATGCATTGGATGGCGGATCATCAAATTGCAATTTGAATATACGCCCTCGTGCACCCTTTCAAAGTGTAAAAAGCAGTCAGAAGTATCGGAAATTTCGAAATTTTTGCTTTTTGTCAAAACGCTATACTAAATTTCGTTTTTAAATAGCGCATTGGTATTACAAACGGGAAATTGATAATCAGATGATCAAACTGATTATCAATTTCCCATTTGTAGACATTTGTAATACAAAATGACTGAAAAACTGCAAATTTCGCAAGGCTATATTATCCGCATTTTACAACATTTCGCAACGAAACTTCGGAATATTACTAATTTTGTGATGCTCTTTCAAGCTGTGATGAAATTGTTGCCCAGACTAGTCTAGATCAAAATTTCAATTAAAAGGGGAAAGGTTAAAGGGGAAGTCAAGTCCGTTCTGCGCATCGGTTCTGCGCATAACAATAGAGGGCCCCCAAATTTTGAATGTTTCGAATTTTTCTGAACACAAACTCTATTTCATATTCATGTAGAAGCATAACGAACCAAAATGGTGTTAGATATTCAGACAGTACATCATATTTTAAAAAATACAGCAGTTCAAAATGTAAACAAACCGTTTGTTTACATTACGGACTTGACTTCCCCTTTAATTCTCGCCCACAGCAGGTTTCGTCGTCGGTCACCCGCAGTCAAAACGCTGACATCTAATAAAATTTGCATAAAAAATTATACATTCTGAGTTTGCTTCGAATACGAGAGCAAAGCAAGAGCACAGGCACAGCAAAAGTTCACAAATGTTCAAACTACAATAGCGACGTCAGAGTAAAACCTGTGAATGTGAAAACTGATATCTAAAGGTAAAGCGAAATTTGTAGCAAATAAGCGAATATATGTCGTAGCATTGATGTGAACGAGCCAACATAAGATAGACAACACAACGTATGTTGTAGAGATCGTATTATTGCTTCTAAATTCGTCGACGTTTTCTAGTGATGTACGTACCTTGTGGCAACAACACTTTTGAGGTGTTTCCTGCGATATTTGTAGCGGGCAGTTAATTAAATGGATCAAATTAAAGACGAAATAAAAAACGCTTTAGAGCGTGTTGGTTATACGTACGAAGTGCATCTTGCTAGAGGATCCTTTGGTCAAGTTTTTCAAGTCAGACAGTCTACGGACGGCTATAGATACGCTGTAAAAATGATCCCAATTCAACACGGCTATAATGCAAAATACAACAAACGAGAACTTGAACTGATTACTGAGGAAAAACTATCGCAACCAAACATTGTTAAATATTATCGTGTTTGGCCTATGACTATTGATAAAAATGCATTTCTTTGTATTCAAATGGAGCTATGTAGCGCTGCCTTGGAAGGGTTTGTCTATAACAACAAAATGGGTGGCGTAGAAATTATCAAAACTCAAGGTCCACCGCGCTTTTATCAACAAGTTTTTCCTCAAATATTAAATGGACTGGATGCTATGCACTCAATTGGCTGGGTACATCGCGACATTCATGTCGGCAATATTTTGGTTGCAAATCCGAATCCACGTGAAATAAGTGAAATTATTGTTAAGATTGCTGATTTTGGTTTGGCAAGAAAAATAAAGCCAGAATTTGACACTTTTACATCCCTATCTGCTTTCCCACTGGGTACAGGACTATTCACAGCGCCAGAGCTTTCCAGCGAAAATTATGATAGCAAAGTGGACATATACAGTGCAGGTATTGTGTTGTATTTCCTAAGTCGTTACCTGGAAGATAAAACGCGATGGAGGGCAGAAATTGTCGAACTACGCAAGGGAAATCGTGATGTGGAGCATTTGTATTATCAAGACGACATCAAGTTGTCCAATTTATTTTTACGTCTCCTGAAAGACGATCCCAAAGAACGGCCAACCGCTATAGAAGCTTTGGAATTCTGGCTATCCCAGGGTGTGCCAAAAGCGGATTTTCTTGTACAGAAATTCGGAGGGCGTTTTTGGAAACGTTGCTCTTTGGAAAATCCTACGTTAGCTACTTTAAAGACAGCTATAGAAAGATGCACAGAAGTCAATGCTGAGACTCAAGTCATTTGGAAGAAGAAAATTATTGGAGATGCAGAGCAACTGATTAGGATAGAATCTGATCAAGATGTTCATGATATGTTTCAGGAGGCTGAACCAGAAAAAGCAAGGAGCCTGATTGTTGTGTCAGAAATGGAGAATATGGACAAAATGGACGTGAATACTATTGACATTCTTTAACGTAGTTAACATTTTCCACGTTTTGCATTTTAACTAAGAACACGTTTTGATGGACTCTGTGTTCATTGCTATATATCGTTACGAGTACGGGGCATACTCCCAAAAATATTCCAAATATTCCAATGCTCCAAAAATGGTAAAATCCTGTATTCTTGAACGTATATAATATATTAACAAAATTAATTAAAATACCCTTGAAAAAGTCAGCCCTATAGGCTATATAAAACATCAGCCCTGATAAAAAATCAGCCCTATAGAGTATAGGCTATATATCTTTCTACATGTATATAAACTTATTTAAAAATGTAGGCATTGCAACTTTAGTCTGGGTGGACCTTTTTGTAGTATTTAAGTCATCAATATAACTTACGGAAACCACTGAGTATTTTAATAAAATAATAAATCTGAAATCTTTAACCACATCACATTATGCGATCATTTTCAACATCATTAAATCTATTTTAGAACTATTTCTTAACAACGAAGTTCACTCAACTCCCACATTTATATTACCAGAATATATATTTAATAACTTTCGAATCATTGACAGATCTGACCATTGGTCCTTATTACATTTAGCAAAACAATATATATCGACTTCAAAGCCACAGTAAGCCATAGCATCCCTGATGTTTGAAGCTGATCCGTTTTCAACAGCCTTGGAAACCATTTCATTATTTTGAGACTGTGACCTTGTTTTTTTAATCGCACCAAGTGATCCATTAGCAAAACATTGTGTGTTGACTTCAAAGCCACAGTAAGCCATAGCATTCCTGATGTTTAAAGCTAATAAGTTTTCTGTTGCCTTGGAAAATGTGTTTTAAACTAACAAACAAAACTTAACTAAACACTCGCTCTCGACTTCTACGAGACGATAGTTGATTCAAGCTTCTCCCTCACAATTATAATTTCAAAAAAATTTTAAGCTCGTAATCTAATTGTCAAATATTTGGTTAACGTTTTTGAATCAATATGAAGTCAATGTGTTGCCTTGAAGTAAAAAGATTTTTACCCCTGGCAATACCGAATAAAGCATTAAAAATGTCAGCGTCATTTTGAATGCTTGAATTGTAAGAGTTATAAAATAAAAACTCGCTAGGTGATAATACATAAATGAGGCAGTTGTGGTTCGTTCAGTGTTACCACTCTAACAGTTGGTTTCTTGCGACAAAAAAAGTTCTGTAGTGGGAACACTAACATTAAAATCCAAAGCGGTTCACGTTTTTTTATCAGACCTCTGTGCTGGGAAACAAACTATATACGTAAGTACGTTTGTTGCGTATTAAATTCTTTTTATTAGTGTTATATTTTAATTTGTGATTGATAGTCTGGTTCTCAACTCTATACTATAGCTAAAACGTTCGGCATCATGGAACATATAAAGAAGGAGGATTTACAACCAGTTCTCAACAACCATGGTTATGAATGTGAAGATTTTCTGGGTCGTGGAAGTTACGGTAAAGTGTTTCGAGTTTCTCAAGGCACTGGTCCTAATCCTCAAAAATTCGCAATGAAATTTCTTGATACTGTTAAACGCGACGAACATGACCCACAAAAATATAACAAGCGAGAACTTGACTTACTCCAAGAAATTCGTATATCGAAACCAAACGTTGTCGAGTATCACGAAAACTGGAATTTGACCGTCTGTGGAATTGAAATTCTGTGTATTAGAATGGAGCTATGCTGGTGTAGCTTAGAAGAGTTCATCTATAACAACGATATGGGTGGCGCTGCAATTATAAAAGCTCGAGACCAACCACGGCTTTACCAACAGGTTTTTCCTCAAATTTTAAAAGGCCTACAAGCTATCCACTCAATTGGCTGGGTGCATCGCGACATTCATTATCAAAATATTCTTGTAGCCATGCCCGAGCCAACTAAAATAAGTGAAATCAAAATTAAGATTGCTGACTTTGGTCTTGCTCGGGAAATTGAATCGACATCACAAAAACAAACGCTCACCCCATATCCTAATGGAGGCCTACTCGCTGCGCCGGAGCTGGCAACCAAATGTTATGATAAAAAAGTTGATTTATACAGCGCAGGAATTGTGTTGTATTTTCTTAGCCGTTACCTTGAAGACCGGTTCCAATGGATAGATGAGATTAAAAAGCTGAAAAAGGATGCACCCTTTTATGATCATTTGTATTTTAAAGACGACGAGGTTTTAATAACCATGATTATGTCGTTGAAAGCCAAGGAACCTAAGGAACGACCGACTGCAGAGGAAGCTTTGGAGAAAATGAAAGAATCGATAAATGCACGTTTGCCAGTTACCGAAACTTACCCAAGCGAAGGGAAAAATATTTTGGTAAAGAATGCAGGCGACCGGTGGTGGAAACGATGCAACGCTGCTGATTTTACCTTGTCCAGTTTAAAAGACCAGATACGCAGTTGTACTGGTCTTAAACTCGAAAACGGAACATTAATTCAGATCACTGACATGTCTTTTACAGGAAGTGATACACCACAGCAAGTTGAAGTTGAAATAGATAATGACGTTCAAGTTGAAAAGATGTTTCTAAGTGCCAAAAGACCAGGAAAAGAAAAAGCAATCCGTATCGTAGTGCATGAAGTGCACGAAAAAATGGACACGTCTAATTAATTCGCCTATAGCTTAAACTTGCACGAGGAACAACATTTTAACTTTATATATATACACGAACGAAATTAGAACTATTAAGAAGCACTTTTATTACTTTATAACATAATTCCACTTTAAAATAAATTAGGTTGAAGCATACTGCTACAGCATAAGTTTGAATAAAGCATCTGTTATTGACTATAATCTTACTTATTATATATTATTTGGGGAGTCACTCTGACCCCAAGATTACTTTTAGAAGAGGGAAATTTTTGATCTTTTCGAAAGTGATTGGACTGTAGTTGCAATTCATACTGTGCAATTATACAGATACGCCTCTCACGAACAAAACTGGGCCTGAGCTTGGACAAATCTGCCATTTCGTTTGAGGAATGTTTACAAATGATGCCGGATGACGTACATTCTATCACAATGCATTGCGGTCGAAAATCGTTGAAAAAGCAAATTGACATTTCTGAAGGGCATGTACAGGAATTTGAATTCATTAGGTGTTCATGACTTTTTTCCCCAGTCATTTATGGTTAATGCTCGCAATAATTAGACGTTTTATGCAACTGCACTCTCATGTTTTTAATAAATCCCATACATCAAAATGTTCTTCGTACGGTCATCGCAGTTCACTTTAGGCCGGTTTTGGTTATGAGGTAAATGGGATCTTATCTTCTAGTGCGATTCCCTTCTTCTGACGCATGTGAAGGAGTAGAAGAGGTATGAATGTTCTGATTTTATGTACCTTCATCTGAACATTCATCATTCATTCACTCGTTCACATCCATCAGAAGAAGGAAATCGCACTAGAAATCGCAGCAAAAATTTCCTTAAGTTCCATTGTCGTTAACGTCAATACACTATCCTTAGATGTGAAGAATCAAACAACAAGAAACCATCAAGTAAATTACCAAAAGACATTAAGACTCAACCTAAACCCTCAGATAAACCTGACGATGGCAAACCCCACACTCCACATCTCTCTACCAAACTAAACATCCTACACCCCAGCCACGGTATAACTACCAAACCCCCTGATGTGAACCTCTCCACCCACCTATCAGCCCACCTTACCAATAAAGACGCATCCCAACCCAACACCCCGTCCAAAAAACCCTCGCATCTTGGACTAGACCCGGATGACCTGCCCCTCAGTCGTCTGGTGGGCACCTCAACTCCGGGAGATAATACCCCCGATGGAAAAACCCCGATGGAAACTAAGACCCCAGGTGTCAAAACTCCGCTATCAAGCCCTGGTGATGGCTTTGGTGACTTGTTGTCTACACCACTATCTGGTGATGCTCACAAGGTAAGTCCGTTTCAGCTTTAATTAAATGATATTTGAAAAATACGCTGTCAACGTCATCTGGCGACATCGTTAACTGACAACATTCGTCATTAACATTCGGCAAAACCTGCAATCGGCCTGATTAATCGCAGCGTGTAACAAGAATGGACCATTCCCCAATTAACCAAAATTTTGATCTCAACAAGTCTAGACAAAATTCCATCATAGCTTGAAAGAGCATCACAAAATTAGTAATATTCCAACGTTTCGTGGCAAAATGTTCTAAAATGTGGATAATATAGCCTTGCGAAGTTTGCAATTTTCAGTCATTTTGTATTGCGCACAGAAGTGGTAACCATTTCTCGTTTGTAATCTAAAATGACTGAAAATTGCAAATTTCGCAAGGCTATATTATCCGCATTTTACAACATTTTGCAACGAAACTTTGGAATATTACTAATTTTGTGATGCTCTTTCAAGCTGTGATGAAATTTTTGTCTAGACTTGTTGAGATCAAAATTTGGGTTAATTGGGGAATGGTCCATTGATCAGGATTGGCTGGATATTAACTCATGTGAGGTTTCGGGTGCGCACTCGTCAAAGACAAATGCCTTTCTCCTCTGAGTTCGTGGGTTTGATTCTCGCTATGGACTCATGTGAAAAGAGTCAGTCAACGCTCTTGCGGAAAGTCGTGGGTTTTCTCCGAGTGCTCCGGTTTCCTCCCACAGGGAAAGTTGACAGGGTGGGTTAGAATAAACACAGTTAGGAAAGTAATATCACAATTGTTGTAAAGATAAAATAGTCTAGGCTAAGTGTGTAATTAGGTAAGCGTATAATACTTGATGTAAAGAGCATTTGATCATATTTACATGTAAATTTGCGCTATAGAAATGCTAATCTTATTCGTAACTCGAGAGTATCAGAGTCGATGAGATCTGGCGGTGAAACAGGAGCGAGTGTTTTCACTGTCATCACCCTTCAATCTCTTTTGACCGAGGCTAAAGTGTAAATAAGTTGTCACTAATATATGAAAATTGCTGTTTTTCTAGGGCTTGAGACGTGCTCATGGTAAGTTCACTCATCATTTGGAAATTTTCATAAAAATACTTGCTTTATATGTCTTCTTGCTGACTAACAATTCATAATAAAGTACCTGTCGAAGACTGCAGAGCGCAGGCTGGCAGTGTTCGTGTTTAAATAAATTTTACGATCAGAGAACGTTTCAGAACTTTATTATGAATCCTGGTCGCGCATCTAGCATTTTTAATATAACAGTTCATACTTTCACGCTTTGTAGTATTTGCTCCGAAAGAACTGCGTATCGAGTTGGATCATAACAAGTTTAAATGTGAATATCAAGATTGTGATAAATCCTTCCGTAAAGCATCCTTACTCGACTCTCATGTCAAGTACTATCACAATTCACCGCCGGACAACAAACGAAAACGCTCGTCAGGTATGGTGAAATTTATACTGGATAGTTCTATCAGTTCTAAACTGTTCTCCCTAGAGGTCCAGTAAGAGTCATCTCTTATTGATCCAGTGTTACTACAGGAGAAAACCTAAACTAAACTAACTTTATTTATACTAGATAGCTTTATCAGTTCTCAACTGTTCTTCCTAGAGATCTTGTAAGGATCATCTCGTATTGATCCAGTGTCACTACAGGAGGAAACCTAAACTAAACTAACTTTATTTATACTGGATAGCTCTATCAGTTCTAAACTGTTCTCCCTAGAGGTCCAGTAAGGATCATCTGTTGTATTCATTTGTCAGTTATATCCTTCTTGTCATTTTAGCGTCGTGGAGTGAAGAAGATATCTTTGAGTCAGGTCAGCCAAAGAGACGAACCAAGCGACAGTCGACATCAGATGTTTCTATCGGTTCTGTTGGTGATCTATCAGTTGAAGCTCAGTCGCCTACTGCATCAGGTAGAACCATAGATTACCGTAGATATTTAGTTTTTAATGTTGCAAGTCCAGTGTAGGTGCTATTCAACCAACTGTCAACCGTATTAATGTGCGCGCCCACGGCAAATCTCTAAAATACATCAAATTCTCCAACATGATTTTTTGTAGATATTCATGTCGAAGTTGAACATGATCTAGATGATGAAGATATGGATATCTCGGATCACAAGGGAGAAGATGTCGTCAGGTGTTTATGTGGAGTTTATGAAGATTCAGGAATGATGATACAGGTATGGTCCAGTGAGCTCGATGTATCTATCTGGAGGAAGAACTCCTCCAGTCATTTGGTTTATAAGAGCTGTCGCTTATTGGAGCTCTAGAGAGTATAAACGCGCTCTAATCTTTTCTTGTTGTTTAGTGTGAGCAATGTTTTACTTGGCAACACAGTGATTGTGTGAATGTTGGTGAGGAACAAGTCCCCACGAAATATTTCTGTTATGTCTGCAAGAATCCACCAGGTAGGTCAGATTCTGCGTTTCACTAAAGCATATTGTGCTCACTTCGTAGGTGGATCTCATTGAGCACTGTGTGCAAACCATAGCCCATCGAAGGGAAGATGGTTGTGCAACTCATTAGAATAACAATATAACTCATTATCTATGTTGGTCAACGTTTATTCATAAATCTGATCCTTCACCGTCACGTGTGTATTGTATTTTTGCCAAATCCACCAATAGCAATGTTTTAGGAAAGTTTCCTGTCCGTGACTCGAACAATAGGGTAAATTGGAAATTGCTATTGGTGGATTTGGCAAAAATACAATACACACGTGACGGTGAAGGACCAGATTTATGAATAAACGTTGGCTAACATAGATAGTGAGTTATATTGTTATTCTAATGAGCTTCCAAACCATTTTCCCTTCGATAGGCTATGCGCAAACATAAGGATGGATTTACTTGGTCCAGTTGACAGTGATCAAAGTACAACTGTCAGAGATCTATCAAAGCGGGAAAATTGACTATCTCTGTGTTTCTTATTCTAGGGCTTAGAAAAA